AAAGAGGGCATAAGTGGTATGTCTATGCATACTAAAAAATAAGTCCTGACCACATGATATGGCCAGCTACCAGCTAGTGGGTGATAGAGACTGTAATTACTATATGACTTGATCCAGTGATGCATATGCCTAGGTGATGTAACTGCTAATAATTCTTTAGCTAGTTAATGACTGCAGGGTAGGTGCATTGCAAAGCCTAGTCCCAAACAGTCCAGACTGTGGACATTCAAGCTCACTTGTCTGGGTTTCCCTCTGAGGGGCACTTGGGGGTAGTGTGATGCTTTGGTCTTGTCCTGATACAGAGCCAGAATGTGCCCAACCCATGCACCCAAACTTTAGAGCTAAGAAGTGTTCCCAGCTCTTGCAGTATAGACATAACTTGAATCTCTCATCTTCCATTCTGACCAGACTGTTTTGGAGCAGCTTTATGTCAGGTTCTCAGAGAGCTAATAATGTGTTGCCAGTACATCAAAGGGAAAGACAACGAACAGGAAAATATTAGAATAAATATTGAAGAAACAGAAGTTAAGCTCAATCTAAGCTCATATCAGACAAGTAAAGATCAGATTGGCGGGGGCTTGATTCTTTTTCCTTGTATTTCTATAATTTTTCTTAAAATCTTAATCTATTAGAGTGTCTTAACATCGTCAGGATAACTAAAAACATTCATGTCTATACCTCATTTCAATATGTTATCCATGCAAATGCTAGTGTTCGACACATATTTTCATGTTTAATATGATATCCAATATCCTCAGTTACAAATCGGGGTTCTGTATCAATTTTGCATGTGTAAGGTGACAGAATGTTGCATATTGTCGTAAGTATTGTCTCCTCCTTTCTGGAAGCTACACATTTTTGATTTACCTCCTTGTAGTCGTGACTTCTCTTCTGTTTTATAAAGCCCAAATAATGATAGTAAGGACAACTCTGCCAGTTTTTCCATCTTGTCCATTACATCTTTGGTGGCCCATACAGGGAGAGTATAATTGTGAATACCCTAGTGATAAATGAAAGCAAAATTATATTTTTGCTTTTACTGGTTTCCATCCCCATGTTCCCCTGCCTCGCACTAGACTTTTGGACTCTCTGATGCTGTCCTGCAAATCTTTTGCCAGTGAAATAGCCTTTGTGGAAATGGGGATCAACCTGAAATGAAAGATCTGCAAGAGGGGAAATACCTGTGTGAAGGGGATCCCTTGTAAGTGTAGTGTGTTCTTGCTATAGTGATACTTCTTTCTGGTTTTGCTAGTGTGGAAGACTGCAGACATACATATGTTCTCTCCCCTTCTTCTAACACTGGCTGGGTCTTCAGGGTATAACCTAGCTCCAGCTTGTCCTGCCTTTTCCATATAGTGGACCAGAGACCAGTTCCATCACAGACCGTTTACAGACAAGTGTCACTCTGCAGTCACATAAGTACAATAGCATCTTACAGTGTCTAAGTAAATCAGTGGGTGGAGGATATGTTCAACGACCTTTCAGCTTTTGTGTGCTGCTGTTAATGGCTGGTTGGGGCCAGACGGAATCATCCCACGTGTGGGATCAATCTGATTGCGTTCACTGGGAACAATCATCATGTCCTAACTTTCTAACAAATAGATCATAATCTTACTTGTCATTTTCAACATCTATCTAAAGATTTTTATATTTACATGTTGTTAGTTCAAAGCAATTACTTTCATTTTCTTATTAAAAATCATAAATACGTCCTAGCCAGCATGCTCAAATAATTCTACAGCAGCATACTGGGAAGGAAAATGAGGGAACTAAGGGAATGGATCTCTGCACCAGTGCTTTGGGGTTAAAACACCAAATGGAAACACGGGAACAACAATTTTCCAAGCTGTAGACCATGCTTTTGGGGTATCTTTTACCAATGCACTAAATTAGGACTTAGATTCAAATTAAAAAAAAAAAAAGAAGTAAATTATGGAGAGAAGGCCACTCATTCCTGTGAAACCAAATTGCCATAGTTTAGTTGAAACACGTCTTAGGAGTTATTTTCTCCCCCAATCCTTGTCGCTACTATTACCTCACAATATAAGGTGTCATACGTATTCCAGAGTTGGAAATTGTCCAGTATTTTAAGATCATTTAGTTCAAATCCTGTGTTAACTGCCATCGTCTGTAAAAAATCCTGGGGAAAAAAATGAAGAATATACCACAAATACTCACTACCTTTGGAATGAATACAGATTCGTTGGCATTCAAACTGGCAACACACCAGTGTTTGATTTTACACGGGTGAACCCCTTGTAAGGGAGAATTTTGGTTGCAGTTCTCATTTTGTAGCCACTTCAAGATGCTGAGCTCTATTTCAGGCACTGCTTTATGTTCAGCCCTGCTGTGGTCAAATCTGATGCACTGTCTGCTGTGTTCTTCTCTCCCTCTTCTGACTGCTCCAGGAGGGTACCTCAGTCACCTCAAGCCTTCAGAAGTAAGGAGGAGGAAGGCATTAAGGGAAAAGGAAGATGAGAAAAAAGGATGACGAGGAAATAGCAAATTAAAGAAAGCAGAGGTGAATACTCGGGATGAAGAAAAGAAGAAACTGAAAAGGAAATTAGTTTTAGCTTCTCCCCTTACAAAGGAGCTGAGTATCTAAGTAATCGTTTCACAACGATTCCCATAGGGATTCTTGTTATGTGAAAGCGGAATGAAGGGACTCCATGATATGCCTTAGTCTCATGTTACCTGTTTCACACTGGTAGCTGACAGGGAGAAATTGCTATGAAGTCATGATTCACCTCCCTAGCAGGACAGTGAGGCTGGCCAGAGTAGCTGAGCTGGCAGAAAGTTAGAAATAAACCAGAAAAAAAAAAGAAGGGGAAAAAAGAGAAAACATTTGACTTAGCCCAGCCAGCGCAAGCAGTGAGCCTGAAGTGTCTTAGAGGACATGTTCAGGTGCAGTCAAAGGTGTGAGGGCCACAGGAGACTCCCGCTTTATTTGTGAGGTAGTGCAATTACAAAGTGGATCATAGGCTAACTAAACAGCAGCAGTAACCACTGTCCAGAGTAATTATTGTCCACAAGAGCATGGTTGCTTGGGGCAGGTATACCCACCAGATGGCACAGCCTGCTGCAGCATTATAAGGGGAAATTCTGGATCACTAACTGCGAAGATGTCTGTCAGGGCCAAAGCAGAAGCATTTATTTTGATGGATCCAGAATGCATCTCTGAATGAGAGTGTGTGAATGCATGTTATTCACTGATCCTGTGGTAAAATTTTCGCTAGTCAGAGTGTTTGCCTGGCTGGGCTTGCTTTAGTTTTCTCTTGCAGCATTAATTTCAGAAAGTCATAGCAGGAAAACCTAGATTTTCCTGAGTTTCAGGATATTTATCAGATTTTTAGAGCTGGTTTGTGCTACCCTGTAAAACTGGAAATTGCTGCATCCAAAATATTTTCTTTCTCCTCATATCATTGAACTTTAACTACATGGAGCTCTGCATAATATCAGAAAATTAATGTTAAATTCAGATTTTAAAAGCTAAGTTAATGTAGACAAGCTTGAGAAATGTGTATCAAACATACTTTTTGATGACTGGCCTAACTTTCTATTTTTAAGAGAGTCCTCAGGACTTTTGAGGCATTTTAGCAAAAGAAATCAACACAGTTCCATAACTTCTACATCTTAGGTCTTTTCATTTTTCTTAGATTTTGTTTCCTTTCTATTTTTTCTTACCATGTATGGTTGCATTCTATTTTGAAATTCTCTAGATGTTTGGGTTTCATTCTGAAGTTCGTCAAAACGGGGACAGTCGCGCAGAGGAAAATGCAGCCTCTGAAATAAGAGAAGTAAAAAGAATAGTTCTGGGACTAATCAACACAATCCTAGTTTTTGTATTGCTGCGATATCTTATATTTGTGAGATTGATTCATGGCCCTGCTACAGCTGCTCTGTGACAGTTTGTGCACCACGTTCATGAATTTGGTGAACATAAGAAATGGACTGTCATAGCCTGACTTTCCAGTGACAGTCTGTGAGTGCGATAGCTTGATTTCCATCAGTTTAGCTGATTTTGGCTGGAAGCACTTATGTCAGGGGATTGCTTTGGGAAATGGCACAGTCTCCATGATCAAGAATTTGAAAAAAGAAAAAGAATTTTAAAAAGCTACCATTTCCCTCTTTTAGTTTCTGAACACCACTAGATCCTGCTTGACTCCACCTAGTTTTGGAATCTGGATTTTTTCTCCAGTCACACATCCCGCTTTTAGTGCTTCAGATATAACTAGTGTAATACGGTACGCACTTTAAGTACAGTTTAATGGACAGAACTCCCAAGTAAGAATGACAAATAAACTGTGTTTCTGAAATATCAGAATGACTTTATAGCATTGGTCATGCCTAAGCATGTGGTTTCACATTTAATAACTCCAAGTCTATGCATTTTGAGATCACCTGATAGTACACATTTGATCTGAACCATATGTAAATACATACTCACATCTCTTTCAAACTCTGTTCTGGCAAATATGCTTTGTGCTAGTTGCAGATGGACAGATGATACCTGAACCAGCATAAAGTCTGCCAGTATAAAACTTACGGCTTCAGAATTGTCTGAGTGAGCAAAATAAGTTTGTCCTGGTCATGGAACTGAGTTAATATACAGTGCAGAAATTGTCTCTGTATAGAGGCTTCTAAGAAGACCCACATGTCATTTAACTTCTACATCTATGGCAAGAACGTCTGCTCTGCCTTGGGGTGAACATACGAAAATGCACTTCCAGTGCTGCTTCTTTCTCTTTGATGTATCAAAATGCATCAAGTGTGAGGCTTGCAGCAGTCACAAATAGAAGGTAACACGCTGTCCATTGGAAAGATTTTCAAGGGTGTATTTTCTCTCTTAACAGTAGCACGCTAGAGGGTGAGGGCTCAAGCTGCAGTGTGAAGCTGGGGAATGTTATTTAATTACACAATAACAAATGTTCCTCTTGCTGTATCGCTTAATTATCCTCCCTCTAGGTGTTATGAAGTAAGCCACTCCCTTTGGCCTTGTTAAGCAGTACTCAGTGCTGTTGCCCCTAGTTTTGGGTTTTGATGGATCCCCATGGCTGAAAAATAAACTGTGATTGGGTTTTTTTACAGGATGGTACTTGGCCTCGACTTCCTACTTTATGTTGCTCAGGGCTTGAAAACACCCTCAAACGATGCTTTTTCCAGGTGGTTTGCATATTTAACAGGCATTTTGAGTTGTTTCAGTGAGACATCAGCACCCACCACGAGGCAGCTGCAGAAGCGATGAGTGCTAGAGATTCTACAAATGAGCTTGCCTTCTCCAAACAGGTCACAACACTGTACTGTGATTCCCCTAAGCATTTTGTGGTTTCTTTTGGCCAAAGCTCTGACCACTTTTATGCTTTTTAATGTCTTCACGTGTAAGAACTTCCTCTAGAATCCCACATTTAAACAACAGTGTTGATGCTCTTTTTTGTTTAAGAACAGAGAGAAGTTTCAAGCTGAATCACGTTGTTCCTAATGCAGATTACTGAAACCTCTTCTGCTTGGACCTGCTTGCAAGCATAGCTTTAGAACAGAGTAATACCAATGGGCAGGTGGGTGAGGCCACCTCTAATGACAGAGTCCATCCTCTGATGCTGGTGACTGGACAGACAGTTATTTAATAGTTTTGTATACATTTCTTCAAAGTCTACTTCTGTCATCAAAGACAGAAGAGAATTAACCTTTCTGCCACTACACTCAGTGACTTTTGTCCTTGTTCAACCTTTTACTTACACAGTTCCCCATCACAGGAGCCAATAAAATGAAATCTAAGCCTGTTTCTGTCAGGGAGAGCTGTATAGTAAGACTTTTGTCAGACCTATCATTTAGGTAGGTCTGCTCTCATCATGAACCTTGGGGCAAGCACTGTAGTTTTCTTATTTGTTTGTATAGCGTGAAGCATAATAGGGCCCTTTTCGTTAATTGAGTTGCCTCAGCGCTACCAGAATAGTAAAGTAATAATTGAGAGGTCATTATAGTGGCTGGTGCAAATTCCATTCCTTGAATAAACTAAGAAATGAACTTGCTGAGGTGGGCAGAAGAGAAAAAGCTAAGCTTTTTAAGCCTCTCTAGCTGACTGATGCTCAGAAAAGCATATGGTGTCTGTAAAGGTTTAGGGCAACTTCCTTAGAATATTGTCCAAAAGTGCCCTTGCGAGGAGAAATGTTAGAGCTGTGCCTTGAAGAAAGTGGTAGCGTGGATTGTAAATCAAGTATTCAGTGTTGTAGAAGGAGGATTTACATGCAGCTATGACAGTTAAACTGTGACATTTTTGCTGGCCAGTAGCTACAGTTGATATTTTCTATTAGACTGAATTCAAAGAGAATAGAAAATACTCTTTAGTTCTTTTTTTTTTTTCTTCTTTTTTTTTTTCTTTTGGAAAAGCTTAAGGCATGATAGGAAGTATCCAGCCAGTACTCACCTGATCTGATGATTCTGGCGCAATATGAACTGGGATGGGCTGCCAGGGAAGCTCAGGGTTCCAGATTTGGCTGCTAGTTGGTGGAAAGAGGCCAGAAAGGCATGACTGGGCACTCATTATGGTGCGGTCATAATCTGTACTTTGGATATAAAACTGTAGATAAAATGGCAACGAGTTAACATTTAAAATGGCAATAATAAAAATAAAAGAGGGAAACTTCACACAACTCATCAGTCCTGCCTTCTCATTTTCAGTTTCTATTTTTGCATAAAATCAAAACAATGAAATTAAAGCTACCCTGCTTCATTTGTGTGCACAGAACTGCCAAAGCATTTTTCACTTTGGAAGCTGGCCTTGGAACTGAACTGAGAAGAATAAAAAAACATGATTTAAAAGAAGGAATATCTGCATCCTCTGAAATTCAGAGGTACATGGATGTCATCCATCTGCTATACCTCATGGATGAAGGCACTTACGACTTTGGTGGATAACAAAAACCTCTCATGGAAACATTGCAAAGCTATCGTCTTCTGTGCCCTCCCGTCAATGCCTGTGTGGACAAAAATGGTATCTTCCCTATGATGCATCCATGTCATATGGCATGCACACGTCCAAACACATGTGAGACCTCTCTTTCACAGGATGAGATATGTGAGCATGGTCCATCGCATGACTGCGAACGTGTCATCTGTAAACAGGGTAAAACAATATTGGGTCACTAAGTGGCAATTCATTTGATGGGGTGGAGCTGCTCAGTCCTGGAAAACAGTGTTGTGGAAGACCCAAACTGAATGTAGGAGCATAAAGTTAAACACTTGAGTCTATGATTTTGTTGTGACATAACCCCCTGATTTTCAAGAGTTCTTCTGTTACCTTAATTTTTGTTTTAATGAAAGGAGTACGATGTGCTTTTATTTAGCACAAGTCCATACTGCTACTATGCAGGAGAAATGTCCTCCAGACAGTTCTGATACATACCTCTTGCCGGTTGTATGTGCTGTTCAGAAAGTTGGAGTATCTTTGCCTCATGTACTGTCCAAGTTCATATAGCTGCTGCATTCCAGTCTATGAGGTAAGCATGCAGATGACCCTTAGATTAGGGATACTGAAGAATCTTAATATGCTTTTTCTTTTCTACTCTCTTTTTTGTCTTCACCAATTTCTTTTTGTGATCACTAATCATTTGTATAACATATTATATATGTTATAAGTGCGCTAGAGTTTTTGACAGAAATACTCATTTATATCTATGAAAAAAAGATATTTTCTGAAATTCTAAGACTCCAACATCTGTGGCAGGAAGGGCGACGTGCCTGATTCTATACAAATACTGTTTCCACAGTGCTGTAGCTCTACAGATGCTTCTGGAGTTACTCAGGATTAAGTGGATGCCAGTCAGTGACAGTTGATAAAGGGTGATTGATACCCCAGTGTTCATTATCATTATTACTATGCTATTTGATCAACCTGATGAATTTGTGGCTTACATTTCCATGCCTTCAGAAAAATTCTTCCAGCTTTGGCTTGGTACCCCTGCAGTTGCCTTAGACTGCACAGTCTTTTCTATTATTCATTTCCAAGGCTGTGAGTTGAACTCTTTAACTTTTAGCTGTCAGAGAAGTACATTCTTACTACTGCTGCCAAAAAGATAAAAAATAGAAAAAAAGGTCTCAAAAAGCTGTTCCAAAGCAGAAACTCTTTTTCTTTCTGTAAAATAAGCTATTTACAGGGGGATAGTAATGTGTTGGGTGAGTGTCTGAATTTTACAGATTTTCCAAGTTTCACTTTGAACACTAAATGCTCAGCTGCCTCTGACTCATGCTTCTCCATTGTAATGACCTATAGTTAGTGAATGTACTGGCCTCTCTTTACTCCAGAACTTCATATGCCAAATATAGCTAAAGAGCTAAGGCCTGGTGTTGAAATGCCGGAGAAACAAGTAGGCTCAATGTATCCTAATGCAGCTCCAGGCTGAAAGCAGCCTTATTAGAAGATTGTCCCCAGAAGCAGCCTTCTCCTGCAAGTCTTCCCTTGCCTTGTGAGTAGATGGTTGCTAGTCAAATGATGAGATGTGGACTCATCATTTGAGCTGGTGGGCAGGTGTCATTCCTCTACCCTGACACATGGCCCCGTACTTAAGGGTCTTGACCATCAGAACTTCAGAAATTTTAAGAGTACTGATAATGTTTAAATTTGCTATTTATTTGAATGTACACACACTCTCAGGAAGTTGTTGCTTGCAGGAAAACAGTCATAGCTATGATGAACAAGATTTCAATGTCACAGTAGTTGGATGAATATTGTTGCAAAAATGTTTATGAATTATGGGGTATTGCTAATACTATCTATCACTAGTTGGGATTTACTGATGTTTTGCAAGACACACATCAAAAATCTGCAGACTTCCTATGTTAGTAGCATTCTTAGTGTTACTAAGGAAGTCAACATACCTTGGTAAGTTGTCCAAATCCCTGGGGCCATTCACTTTCTTTGTGTAGATCAGTTGGAAAGTTTGCAATTGGTGTTCGATCACCATGTCGAAAAACCTGATAAAATTAATGTTAAAAAATTGAGTTAATTACCGTTAGCTTTCCCTTCTCACCTGGCTTGAAGACAAGCATATAATTTTAATTCCAGTGCCATTTTTCAAATAAAAATATTGAAAAGTCTGCAGAAACTTAGTCAATGTGTCACGTAGGATTGAAGTACCTTCTTTACACACAAGAGTGGTATCGTTACATAGGAATTCGGTGGGCATCAGCCTGATGACTCTTCTGCCTAGAACTTAAAAGGAATCAGCCAAAATGTTAATGTCCAGATTAGATCCGTAACTAGGCACCTGGACAAGAGATCTGACTGAATTTTGGACACTCAGCATCTGACTATTAGATCAGTTGCTGATGTGCTTGAATGAGGATTTAATTACTTTGGTGCACACACCTTAAATTTTTTGCAGCTGCTTTTTTCGTAGCAGCATCTTGTAAATGTGTGTATACACATTTACATTGTTATCTTACTTAATTTTTCTTAATATTTTTGCATATATTTATGAAAAAATTCATGAGAATGTTTTGTAATAACTTCAGTGAGAGCAGAGTTTGCTTGCTTTCCTATGCTAGACACTCTAGCATGATGAATGTTAGTACTGTGATTTGTACATCAGAAATCTTAAATGAACCTCTTTTATTTTTATTGCAGGGTACAAAAAGAGTACCAACTCTAGATTAAACAGTTCTGAAAAACTCTGAATTCCCATTTCTAAGCATGTCATGTGCAGGCTTAGAAAAACAAAGTCCATGGAAGATTTACGTGGAAATAAATTCTGGAGTACAGATTCACAGGGCTCCAGACAATATTCCAGGATGCTGATCCAAACCGTTACAGAAGTTGCATCTGCATGTATGCCTTTTCAAATAACTAGCCTCATTGCCTGACTTTGCAGGAGAAAATGACAATGTGGAAGCATGGCATATTTGTTCATGAAGTGACATCTGTTCCATAATACCTCACTAATCTAGAGCTTGATTCTAATTAATCCTCTCCATTGCTTCATAGTGCCACATCGTTCTTCCCCAAACATCAGACAGGTTTGTACACGCTAGTTAGTTTGCCACTCCCGCTGGTAGATGTTTCATGTTTATATTTTCTCAAAGTAAATGAAAGCATTATGGTTTAATATTTTAATTACAATACACACCCTTTTCAGCAGCTCTCTGTATCAGTGTGCACAAACTGGTGCTAGAGCACCAGTTTCAGAGATGGGAGTTACTGTCCTTTAAAGGTGAATATAATTGGATTTCTCCGTGTATTCAAGGTTTCTAAAGCAGACAGCAAGGTTTGCTAGAGCAGATTAGGTGTTACCACCAGAACCACGTAGAAAACTGATTGTTTTTTATGGCTAAGTAGTTAAACTTCACTGAAAAACGTGGTTGACCTTATATGAATATTTTTCAGCAAATCAAAGAATTTATTCAAAAAACTTTAACTTTCACATTTTCCACTACATTAAAAATATTCTCAATAAAATTGAAGTGAACTTTGAAAAAATTAAACATTGGTTAAAATTAAAAAAAATTTTGTTTTAACCTACAAAAAGGAGATTTCTTTGGTTAAAACAGCTCACCAGAATCAACAAGATATTTGGTCAATATGAAATTACATAGTGTCAAGAAGAAAGCTTTCTTTTTCTAATCTCAAGCAGCACAGCAAAACATTTCATAAAGTCTTTATTAAATAAATTAGTTTTTACTTCTGTAGGCAATTTTTAATTCTGCCTGTGTCTGTTTTTGCTAATCTGGAATCTTTATAACCATTTGTCAGTGTATGAGAACATGAGACTAGGCAAAGAGCTAAATTATCTGGTTATTGATTCAACTGGATATAAGGAAAATGATGGACGGGGACTCTTGTGTCATTGCTTATTTCTTTGGTGTTTTGAAATCCTGACATACCACGGGTTTCATGTGGAATTGATGAGCTTTTCTGAACAAGCTGATGCCTTCGTAAAGTATGAAGATTAGGTTCTCAATTGAAATGTAGCTGTGTGCTTTCTTGCTAAATGTATCCAACCTCACTGAAAAGTGCTTTTAGGAGTAATTGACGGTTGTTAAAACCAACTGACATGATGAAATGACTATTTTTATGTACTATGGAGTAATAGATCCAAACCTGACCAAGAAATATGCCTTTTTATTAGTGAAAAATTACTGAATATACATTAAGTTTGGAATGCTAGTTTATGATACTTTATATTTAATATGCAACATAACTGTCAGTGTATATTTCACTGTCACAATAGTTAACCCCTAAAAACATTTAGTTAGCCACAACAGAGCAGCATTTTACCTCAACAGAAGTGGAAGGGCAAAGACACATAGATTCAACTGTATTTGAATCTATGTGGGAGCTGGAGATGTAAAAGAACAAGATTGTTTTTACTCCTTGTAACCTTAAGAAGTAGAAGCAGTGGTGTTTGTTCTCTTCCGAAAAGCAGCACACAGAATAGAAAAAAGTTCAATTCCTTGTTTGTAATTTCTAAATCTACATTGCACAGTGTGAAGTTAGTACAATTACATATAAATATTATATTAACACCAAGTTGGAAGAAAGAAGAAAGAAACAAATACTGCTGAGAGCAGAACCCTGCTTTCAGGAAAAGAAGCACTGAGCTTCTTAGCCAGCTAAATTTTCACTTGTGCTCAAACTTTCTAGTAGTTTGCTACTTTTGAAAATGACTTTGCTTAAATTACAATTGGAAATAGAATAATGATCTCATGAACAACTACTTACTTAAAAGGCGAACTCATCCAGTTATAGTCAGCTATATTTCAAAAGAGGTTGGTTTTTTTTCATTTCAAACTGTAAGAAGGGCTTGCGTGTGTGAAAGTTTGTCTTTTTTGCCTACTGTTAGAGAAAAAATCTATCCCTACAAAGCTTACCTTGTTCATCAAATATGTATTTCTGAAAACTCAGAGGATTTGGATTTTGTGATCCTTCAAATTCATTTTAAGATATTTATGTGCTTCAGCATTTGTAACTCCTGGCATACAGATTGCTTTCCTGACCTCTCAGGAGATATCAAAACTGGCAGGATGAGAGAACAGGAAGAGCTAAGGAGGGAACGCAGAAGGACATAAGACACTGGCAAGCAAGAAGGAAGAGAAGGAAGGGAGGAGATACAGAAAAAGAGTAAAGCATGCCTGTTGGATGTGTTCACTCCAGAATCTGCTGTCTGAAATATTTTACCTCAGTCAGTTCTTGAAAGCGATAGATGGACAGTTGTCAAACACCTACTCCCTCAACTTTTTGGTAGAGCTGGAACCTGATTGGGTATTGGGGCTCTCCTGCTCTCTCTTTCTAAGGTTGTGAGGGTGAGCACTACAGATCAAAATGTCCATTTGACTCAAACTTTGGCCACGAATTGCTTCCTTTTCTGTCAGGTGAAAAATTACATTGAAGAAAACTGAGGCAGCATACAGGGTGAACTAAGAATATGGCACATATAGTATATATAGCATCTTCATTCAGAAGTGCCATGAATTATAGTGAATTATGTGGCACTGAGTAATAGCGAGCCTCTGATGGGCACCTATACTGACACCCAACTTCAAACAAAAGTATTTCTTATTCTAGAACCAGCAGTAGGAATAAAAACAGCAGATCAGAGGAATGAGTCATGCAACCAGCTCAGGAAAACCATCGATGCAGGAGAAACAGGAGCATGTTTAGTTAAGATTTCGAATGGCTTGGGTTGATTGGACAAATAGATATCATACCCCATCAGCGCTTCCTATCCCGAGTTACAAGAAGAAAGACATAATGAAACCACCCTACCTCAGAAACCACACCCCTTTGTGTATATGACAGATGAAAAGAGTGCCTATGGGAGACCAGAAGTTAAAGGTCAGAACTTCTCTATACAGACTCAGTAAAACAGGATTTCATTGTTACTTAGGTATGCAACGATCCTAGATATTTCCTGTTTTCCTCAGTTACATGTAGCTTCCATTCAGTATACGACAATTCTGCTGAACATTAGTGTTTACATGTGAGAAGGAAAACCGAAATAGAATTTTGAGAAAACGGTTTGAATTACAGCTTTTCAGCCAATAGGACTTGTGGCCAATAGTCAAAACACACAGAATCAGTGCAAAGATGGAAATCATGACGAGAGAGCAAGGCCCCGCACAGGAGCATAGCACAATTCTGGCAGTGAGCAAAAGGAAACATTTGTCTGTTTTCCCCCCTGCAGCTGTATTCTATATTGTGCAATTCTTCTAAGAAAGTTTTAAAAAGTCATTATGCCACATTTTCACAGTGCAATAATATTCTCAGGTGAAAACATAGCAATTCACAGAGTACAGCTGGAAAATGGCCATTGAATTATCTCAGAAATATGTCTTTTAGGGTTACCTTGACTGTAGTCTGACCCTTATTATATCCCATTATATCAGTGAAATGTTCTGAGGCCAACTCCTACCCTATTAATTTATGCTGTCGGTTCTTTTCCCACGGAAGTTCAATCAGTGAGTTGAGAAAGCAAAATTAAATTGAACACGCATAAACCATGCCTTGAGAAAAGAGATATATACTGATAATGAGACTTACTCTATTGTAATTTTTAGGCAGATTGGTTGGTCTGAGGAAAGGTATCATCAGTGATAAAAGTAAGATAGTTTAAATGAAATTCATCTACTATTTTCATAATGATTATGATAGGTTACTCTATAAATAAATAAAGTGCTATCTTCCTTTTTTCTTTTTTCTTTTGGCAGGTAGGAGAAGGTGGCTATGTAGGTGTGATAAGGAAGCTGATTTGGGGTAAGAAGGCTCTATTTCCATGATGGTATTTCCTGTAACTTGTTCTGCAGAGCCATCACTTGATAGAACACTGTAACAACTACAGTTCAATACAAGCCTCATTCCCTTTAGAGAATTAATTCTCCAAGGAATACTGACTGCCTGATTTCACCTGTATGTCCAGGTCTCTCTCTTACTGTTGGAATGACGTTTAAGGATACTGCTATAGAATGTTACTGGAACTAGATTTCCTACATTGTGTAGCATCTGATCCAAGAGTAAGGCTCAGCAACCATTTTTTTCTGAGCCTTCTAGCCTCTCTCCAAGTGGTACATCTGCATAATCCAGCCAACAGACAATTAGATATGAAATAGCATATTTGGGGCTAGATGGTATGTTTTGAGCACAGGCCTTCATTCTGTTATTCATATTCTGTTATTCTGTTATTCTGTTATTCACTTAATATCTCAGATAGAGGAAGAATATCTTAGAACTAAATTTTTTTTTTTATGAATGTTAATTCCAATCCCCACAACTTTGTATTGAAAATATCACTTTAGACTAAATGTTCTTTATCAGTACATTTCTTATTAAAGAAAGAAAGAAGAGTGAAAAGAGCTACCATACAACCTTCACTATCTAAAATACTTCGTTGAATTAATTTCTCTTTTTTACCTGAGATATTGGGGAAACTGATGTTGAAGTGGTATCTAGTTGCTTTAAAACCAGAAATGGTCTACAAAGAACTATTTCAGTCAGTTTTCAAATTAATTGTAGTTAATGCAACATGTATCTCAAATCCCTACGTAAAATGCCATTTTCTGTTTTTCAGTGTACTGCTGTGCCAATTCAGCTCTTCTGAAACAAAATATTTTTGTTTTTATGCTGACTCCTATTTTGAAATCTTAGAGCACCTCATAACATGAATAAATTCAGCTTTCAAGCACAAAGAAGATAGGCCAGAACCTCCAGTTCTCCAGCTATGCAACAGGGTATCAGCTAATTTGAGCAAGAATAGGTTAGCTAGACCTCAAATCTCTTGACTCTTGTGCACTATGCTTCCACCACAAAGCTAAGCGTTTCAGTTATCTTGAAATAATAACTAGAAGTTAGTAGGTGAAAAATCTTATAATCATCTGTGGCATTTAATCTTCTTTAAGAAGTCCTTAAATTCAGTAAGCAAAAGGGCAGAAATAGTTTTTTCGAAGTCTACAAAGAGGCAAAGCAACTGCACACCTTGTTCAATCCAAAAACCACACCAAATTGTAGCATTCCCCACAATTAAATAGAAAACCCATCTACTTACTACGACCACAAACTTCAGTTCTCTTTCTGCAGTAGTCTGCTGAAACAGAATGAAGATGATATGAAAAGCAAAACACAGAAGCCTAGATCGGCTGGGAAGCCATATCACTCCCATCTTGGCAGTGGATGAAAACAGGTTTTGTAGCTCCAACAGCTGCTCAGGCTGAACAGCCCAGACGCGAGGCTGTACTTTCAAAAGGGGTGGAACTGCTGCTGCTGAATTTCAAATCCAGGAGGAATGTTGTGTGATTAGGCAACAAATGTCATTATCCTTTGTTTGCAAATTACTGTTTACATTCTGAATAATGAAATCATAATTCAATTCCTCTTTCTCTGTGATATTTTTCTCTTTTGCAGTGTAAGGATAAGGGTTAAAATATAATGGAGTTGCTAGTCGTTCAGCCTGTTTCAACCTACCTGTTCAGTTTCTGCTTCTCAGAGCTTGGACTCTTTCCAGATTGTAGTATGGCCAAGAGGATGAACTTGGAATCAAGAGTCAGGCAAACTGGGTTTCTCTTTTTCCTTTGTTGGCCAGTTAGTCTATCCTCTCACTCTCTTTTCAGCTTCCCTCCCCTTTATATCCAACTCTTCCCCTTCTATATTACTTTCCCCTGAAATCAGAATACTTATTTTAAACAACACTTCACATAGTTTAAAATTATCTGCCCCCCAGATACAATAGTAAAGTTAGCAGGACCTCAGATGGAAAACAGTTAAAAAACACCTTGCTATTGGTATGTTCTTGAAGCTGTTTTCTGGGCAGTTATTTGCTCTTTTCTGTGTATTGCTTTTCTTTTCTCTTGGAATGCGGAGGCCGTCTCTAAGCATGAGGAGGACAAGAAGGTGATCAGGAGCAGTCAGCATGGATTCACCAAGTGGAAATCATGTTTAACCAATCTGATAGCCTTCTATGATGGGACAACTGGCTGGATAGATGGGGGTAGAGCAGTGGATGTTGTCTCCCTGGACTTCAGCAAGGCTTTTGACACTGTCTCCCATCACATCCTCATAGGTAAGCTCAGGAGGTGCAGTGGACAGTGAGGTGGATTGAGAACTGGCTGGATGGCAGGGCTCAGAGGGTTGTGGTCAGTGGTGCAGAGTGTAGCTGGAGGTCTGTAGCTAGTGGTGTCCCCCAGGGGTCAGTCCTGGGCCCAGTCTTGTTCAGCTTATTCCTCAGTGACCTGGATGAAGGCACAGAGTGCACCCTCAGCAAGTTTGTTGATGATCCTAAACTGGGAGGAGGGGCTGACACACCAGAGGGCAAGCTGGGGGTTGACCTGCTGGAAAGCAGCTCTGCAGAGAAGGACCTGGGAGTGCTGGTGGACAACAAGTTGAGCATGAGGCAGCAGTGTGCCCTTGTGGCCAGGAGGGCCAATGGTCTCCTGGGGTGCATTAGGCAGAGTGTTGCCAGCAGGTGGAGGGAGGTGATCCTGCCCCTCTGCTCAGCCCTGGGGAGGCCCCACCTGGAGTACTGTGTCCAGTTCTGGGCTCCCCAGTACAAGAGAGACATGCACTCCTGGAGCGAGTCCAGCAGAGGGCTACAAAGATGATGAGGGGACTGGAGCATCTCTCCTGTGAGATAAGGCTGAGAGAGCTGGGCCTGTTCAGCCTGGAGAAGAGAAGACTGAGGGGGGATCTCATCAATGTGTACAAGTGTCTGAAGGGGGGGTGTCGAGAGGATGGGGCCAGTCTCTTCTCCGTGGTGCCCAGCGATAGGACAAGAGGCAATGGGCACAAACTGAAACACAGGAAGGTCCGTCTGAGCGTGAGGAAAAAATTCTTTGCTGTGAGGGTGACAGAGCACTGGACCAGGTTGCCCAGAGAGGATGTGGAGTCTCCTTTGCTGGGGATATTCAAAACCCGCCTGGACGCGATCCTGGGCAATGTGCTCTAGAGGCCCCTGCTTGAGCAGGGAGGTTGGACTAGATGATCTCCAGAGGTCCCTTCCAACCTCAACCATTCTGTGATTCTGTGAAAGCTAGATTATGCACAAAGGCATGACTGCCTTCAAGACTTTCTTATCCTGTAAGTAATCTGTAAGTGTGTTGATTGAACGTATTGTGTTTGAAAGTCTCCTGCCTTACCGGTCTTACATGTTAATTCTGATCTGGGATATGGGCAGACTTCCATTTCTACTGTGCTTTTAACAACTATAAACTTAAATACTCTGCAACAATATAATTCTTACCCTTTTTAGGAAAAGTTGCTTCAAAATAAAAAATATGTCCATGTAAATGGACTTGAACAATTGAAATAATCTTTATGCTAATTTGGTTTAATGGCTATGTTATTTTTATTAAGATATGGCATTAAGTGGAATTGGCTTAAATACAATTGCCCATTTTTAGAGCATCTATTTCAGAGGCTTGCCGAAGCACAGCTAGATTGGTTTCGAAGTGTAGTAGCCGGAAAAAACCCATTCTGTAGCGTACACAATGTTTGCTTTAGCTAACTGCCCATGGTGGAGGGCAACCTACACACTTTGAAAGGATGTAAGCGGTGGCAGTTCAGGCAGCTGGAGATGAAACTGCTGCCTGCACTTATGGACCAGGCTGCTCACATGGGGAAAGAGCTCAGGTACTGCTGTTGACCAGTTCTGCAATTCAGCACTTAAACTGATTTGGATTAATCTGCAATCTTTTTATTCAATATTTTTGAGCCAAAAAGGGGAAAGGGAAGAAAAATATTGATTTGGTTAAACAAAACAACACATTTCCTTTAATTTCCAAGTGCTTATGATAAAAAGAAAAGGGCTGGGTCACAGACCTGTGTTGGATCTTCCACTTTCACCCAGTTGTAGGTAGCGTGGATGGTTAGAAGCATTCATTTGTAACACTTGCAGGCTTAACTTGCTTCTGCTGATGACTGGATAGGAATCTACAGCTTTGGCAAAGGAAGGATTTGAGCTTGTATCTGCCACATCTTGGATGAGTGCCTTAAGCACTGAGTAAAAAGAAGAAACTCCTGCTTACATCACTCCTGAGAAACAAATCAAAGTCATTCAATGTTATTTGACCCATATTTATGAATAATTTTAGGAAAATAACAAGATTTTTCTTCTGCAACCTTATTTATCTATTTATTTGTTTATTTATTCAATCACTCAGCTCTGTAAGTAACCCAAACAGAAAAGGACGAGGGAAAAAGAACAAAATTGTAGTCTGGCCAGGCCAGTGCCACATTGCCCAGGCAGCATTAAATTCCTGTTGTTGCTCATTCCACATCTTGCTGACATTGTTTCTGTGTATGATAGGAAAAATAGTGACCATCATAAAGTACCTGTCACTTAAAATACAGCATTTGTGACTCTTCAGGTATTACATTTGCCTTTGTTAATATATGGCTTGACTGTCTATGCATTGTTTGTGAAAGAAAGGAGTTTCGTTTTCATGCAATCCTGCCATCGAAACATGATGTAAAAGAACCTATAATTTTCTTTCCATTCTAAGTAACTCCAAAGCTGAACTATTATTGCTTGCTTGTTTCTTTTTTTAAGAGAGAGAGAGGGAAAAAAAAGAAAACTGTCTGTGATTTCAAATCTGCAAAAGACTATGGGATAGATTTTTCAAAAGGTGTCTGCTGGTGCAGTAGCAGAAAACCTGCAGTGGTTTACTAATATTATCTACTTATCTATTTGTTTACATTCCCAATATATATTCACACAACAAGATCTGGGCCTGATGTTTCAGCCTTAACAACACCGATGTTTATTTTTCCTTGGAGTGAGCAAGATATACAGAAAATATTCCTTTCTGTGTTCCTGAAGTAAATATTCTAAAGAATGAAAAGCAGTGAAAAAAATGTTTGTGTGATGGGAGTTCTTTTGAAGAGAGATAAGGGTAATAAAATAATTTGGAAACACATTTGAAATTAATTTTACTACAGCAAATATCAAGCCCCCAAGGTGTGTTCACTGGGGCACGTAGCAGGGAAGAAATATGGTCTGATAACATGATGGAAAAGAGGGACTTTCTATTGGAATTCTCTGAGTAGTGGGCTGAGCTATGTTGCACATGCATAGCTGAAGTGAAGAGCTGGGGCCAAGCTCCTGTTCTGTGATCCTCCATATCAGAGGAAGCTGTGGGGCAGAAGAAGGGTCTTCATGTGGTTCTGAAAAACCTTGAGACACCGATTCGGGTGAGGAACAAGGAGAAGGACTGGGAATTGGAGGCTAAGGAAAAGCATGTGGGTCTTGCATTCTGTGTGTGAGCCTTCTCAGGTCTAGGAAACCAGCAGAAACCCCTGCCTTTGATGGGGGAAGAGAGAGAGGCTAGCTTTACAGCTCTTGAACTTCCAGCTGCAAATATCTGGCAAACAAAACATTAGAAGCAACTCAAGTTGGCATAAGTTCAGAAATAGGAGAAATAGGTTCAGAATAGAAGAGAAGATACGTAGAAGTCTGCTTTCTGCAGCCAAGGCTGTAAGTCTTCTTAGTAGTCTAATGCTGATAAAAATGTAGTATTACATTTTTATCTTTATTTGCTTTCTTTTAGCAATTTTTTCATTCCTTCTTGTTAAAGGAGGTGTGACTGATAAGCTGTGTGATATTGAGATAAATCGTTTGAAGAGCTTATACTAATTCTCCTGTGAGGGCCGAAAGATCTGGGAGTGCCTTCTGTTGATGGCCATTGCGGCCATTAAGGTAATATTGGAAAAAATAAGCTTGTGGAAGGACAAAGCCCATCTTTGCATTAGGAAGAAACTAGACCTGGCTATCTTATGCTGTGAGGAAACATTTTTTCCCTTTGTGGGATTGGACTGCTGTTGTAAAAGAGCTTGCATTTTTTCACTAGAGAGAATCATTTACTTTTACCTACATTTTCATCCTCTTTGTTGTGAAACCTAACTACTACAGCTGTTCTTGCTGAACTGCGTTTAACTCCTTGCTGGCATTGGAAGCAAAGGAATTGTTGTTTGGGCCCTGCTGAGAAGAGAAAGAGCCTTTGCAATGAGAATTCTGAAACCTAGATTCTTGCTGGAGGGGAAAGGGGCCTTTTTATTTTTTGAGTTCTTCTGTAACTTATGGGGTAGCAGCTACCTGCTTATGCTGTAGTTCTAAAAAGGAATATACAATTCATAGGCTGAGCCTCCTTTTTCAAAGACCAACACAGGGAA